TGTATAGTCTTATATAAAGTTTGACATCTGCCCGCTCTTGGTACAGTAATGAGGACACATTTGTCTTTTCCAACAAATTCTTAACCATGTTGTGGAAGACTAGCTAATGCGTTGTGCCTTACTGCATGGAGATCACCAGTGTCATTCCCATGGTATGGGAGGAACGGTCTATGGAGTTTACACCTTAACTCGCTTTTCTCCAGGAACTCCAGGATTATTCCAACAATCCTAAAACATGCTTGAGCTCAACGGGACAGTCACGATTGACTGTATAATTGTCATTGCGCCCTCCCCTGATGACTGCTGGGACTGGCCCCAACTCCCCCTGTGACCCTGAAAAGGATTAAGCGGTAGAAGATGAATGAATATTAGCAGCATACGGCTCTAGGGTTGCATACGGCCCACAAAACAACTCTATCTTGCTCAGTATAATCCACATAATGATTTCGCTAGTTCTGCAGCATTGGTTATGTATTAGAAAATGACAGATCCACCCCTACATCAGGCTATGGTTTCAGGGCGATGCCCAGGGAGAGGCAGACATATCTCCAGTATGTGAAATGAAGGAACTTCTGACTAAATGTACAGTACGAGTCTGTGATGTCATTTCCAATTAAAACCAAGTCAAAACTGTTCTGGTAAGGTGTCAACAACACATGCACAGACAGCAGGCTGCGCTACATTAACGAGCATACATGTAGAAACACAGACGAGAAGAAATCCCCATTAAGCTGAAGAAACTCTGATAGAAACTCTGGGTCTGCATTAAAGGGCTATGAACGAAGAGTTCAGAGGGTCGGGATATTTTCAACCTAAAATGTGCAAATCAAGTCGCCTTCAAATCATCAGCTAGTATTGTCAGTTTAAGTAGCTTTATTAAACCAGATTATTGTTAGCTAAAAACCAGTTGACCAGTTATCTTTCCATGATATACATTACATTTGCACCAAACCACTGAAAGAGGGAATGAACATTAAAACTCTAAGCCCTGGTGTACTGCTTGTCAAGATATTGCGTAACTTTATTGCCAATAATATACTGTATATCAAAACATATATCATACATATCAATATTGACAAAATACTGGCAGGAGGTCTTTAAAGTGCCTGTAGGACATGAAAAATCGTAAGATCATGGTGGCTGTGTTCAATTCCCTTCTACATTTTAGCACACACTCACTTGGTCATGATTTTCTTCAATGTTGACCAATGCAAACTCAAAGTCCAATTTCAATTTCTGTAGTGATTTCAAAGCAGAAGTTACACATCTAAAAATGAGTGTAAAGTGTAACAGCTTACTTAATCCCACTCCTTATTCCGATTATAGTGTTTTGCTTCCTTGTCAATATAAATCTATACAGTGATTCTCTAGACTTCTAATGTCACCAATTACCAATACTGTATCTCATATCAATATATAAATTAATTAGAAAGATGTTTATAAAATGGTGTCCTTGGGTGACTGAAAGGCACCTATGAAATAAAATGTATTATTATTATTATTATATAAACTGCTTATTTGATGTTATTATAAATAAATACTGGCATGGTAATGTAATTATCTTAAATAAATAATGACAGTTATGACATGTACACACCAACAAAAGCAGACTAAATCAAAAAGAATGTCACGGATGATCTAAACCTGATTAATTCATTTTACCCTGGTTCAGGCTGGTCCATGCTACTTGTGCACCAGGCTAAAAGGGTCTGCTGTAGTGATGCCATCAGCCACACGTTCAGATGTCATGTCCAGACAGTACAGTACAGTCCTCACATGGCAACTAAGATAAAACAGACCCCAGCAGCAGGTGTGCATGCCTTAGGTTGGACAACAAAATGAATCAGTGGGTGGGATTCTGTTTGCATGTTTGGAATGCCAGAATAATAGGGATTGACTGTGCTTTTCAGTCTGCTGAGGATCTCCAGGTATATTTCTGCCAACTCTGCATGGAACTGAAAAAAAGACTTCAGTATTAACAATCGTGTTCAAAGTTCAACCCCAATATGGAATTATTGCCTTTGGAGAGGTTCTATAAGTCCGATGACATCTTTTTCCTCATAGCATAGCATAATTATTATTTTTGACTATTTCTTATGTTTGGTGGTATGCAAAAGGAGCTGCAAAGGAACTAGGAGCACTGCAATATGGGGGTCAAGTCAAAAAGGTTTAAGACTGATATTTTAACACCTGTTAAAATGTCTGATTTTGTTTGTTTGTGATGTCAACCAGTTCCTTATCTGTGGGCTCATGCACAAATTGTACATAGTGTGCCAAGAGTAGATCAACGGAATACTGATAACGCACAGTACACAGGGGCAGAGAGAACCCAGACACAAAACATGCAGTTAACGTCTTCACTCGACACATGACCACAGCATATACCAGTCCACCTGTCAAACAGGGTCTGTGGGACAAGAGAGTCCTTACCCAACACAGTTTGTGACCAGACAGAACCAGGATGCGGGCAATAAAGTTGTTATCCTTCTGTGTTAAGAAACTACATAAAAGAGAAAGATAAACCTGAATGTTTGTTGGAATTTCTAAAGAAGGTAAACGTGTAAGCATCAACAAGACCTTTACAAAATAATTCCTGTCAGAAGCACATCACTATCTTCAATTAAATATGACTTTAAATTCTTAGGTGAAAAAACATAGACTGACTTTGATCCTTGTGATGAGGTGAATCAATGTGGGCAGAAAAGACTAAAAAAAAAAAAAACCTGGACCTTAAACATCCAAAATCATTTTGTGGTAGAAGTTCCATCCGAGCCGGGCCAGAAATGCATTGCGATGAAGAACACAGTGAGCCTGGCCTGACCAGAGAAATGACTCCTGACTTGTACAGCCAGGTTATAATTAATCACAGGTGGAACGTTTCAATGCCACATTAATAGAAGCCTTGACTCACTATCAAGTCCCCTGGACCTGCATCTGTACGTTGGTTGTCAATATTTGGCAGAGAAAACACTGAGACCAGCACAGAAAAACACGAAGCAGCAGAGTTTGTCTGCCTTCCTTCATTTCTGTTCGTCAGCTCTGATTTACATCATTCCTCCTGATCACCAGGTTCATTGGTGTCATGTCTTCAACACCTGACACCCTCTCTACGCCCATCATTTTCTGTTTTGTGTATCAGGCACATAGCAACAATTGTTAAAACTTGCCGGGATGAGAGTGACTCTCTGTTCCTCGCTGCTGGAATATTAAAAGACAAAGAAGGAGCAAAAGCTCCAGCAGTTTAGTCGTCGTGCAGACACACGCGAGAGAAATGATAATAAAATCCACCCTCTACACTACGTCTCTGAGCCTCCTCGTAAAAGTCTCCACGAGTCTAAAAACACCGTTGTATCTGACAGAACCAAAGTCTTAGGGTTAGGATACATCTGTGTTACATTTTTGCATTTCTCCTTTGTTTGCTGTTACGTCAGACTTAACAGCAGCAAAAGCCGCCTTACCATCTACAGTATATAACATTCTTCCAGTGTGTTAAAATGATAAAAATGTTGGTTAGGTTTGTTGTTTTAGATAGCACTGAGATTAGCCCCTGGGGTGTCTAAGTAAGAGCCCGTCTACAGCGTTGTCACATGACCAGTCTGGAATCATGGTACACACTGTCTTCTGCAGCTACTACTGGAAAATGAAGCAGTGTACAATGCTAATCAGAAGCAGCTGTGTCTGCATGAGGACAGGCGTGCAGCTCCACACACTGTAGCTCTGTGCACGCTCACACTGTCGACCCACAAACGTGATAAAAAAATTTTTGGTCACCATTAAAAGATAATGGTGGAGCCTGACACTTTGAGGCTGCTGACTACTGATGTTGTGTGGCCAGTGTGGTGCGGTCAATGCGGTCCACATCAGAACTGCAAGACGGGCCGAAAAGTTCCAAGTATTCAGGGTGTGTACCGTTTATAGCTTTAGTGAACTTATTGTAAGGACAAACTATCTCTCTCTCTCTCTCTCTCTCTCTCTCTCTCTCTCTGCGTGAAATGGCAGCCTGAGAATCCTACTGAAGAAGAGTCAGTGGTGCAGTTCCAGGGAACTGTTTGTGTCAGCATAAATCTGCTCCCTTCAAGCTGTCCTATGAAATCTCCCTCTTGAATTTGTTTGTCAACTAAATGCATCGCATACCGTCATTATTCTGTCTCTGTTGAACACTACATTTAACACTGCGTGTCACTCCCAACTGTGGAGACGCTGATCAAGATGTCTTCTTTTGTGGCTGAATATATCACAGACAGATTCCACTGCCAGTCTAGACACCAGGGGCTGCTAATTCATGGAAAAGAGACATCCATGTATACCAGAGTGCCTCAGACCAGGGGTTTTTACTAACCTTCTGCACCACCAGTATGACCACCTCTGAAAATATCTGGCTCTTCAAGCACCACTCGGTGACTCGGTTTTCAATTAAGGTTTTTAAGTTAAAAACATAAATTGCAATTCAATGGAAATTAGATTCATCAAGATGAATTGTATTGTGGTATATATAATCTTTATGTCACTCCCCAAATTGTCGTTTCTTTTTTAGGGGCTGTGTATTTGTATTTTCTTTTTTTAAAGAAGCAGAAGATATTAGTGTGGTGGGTGGAGGAAAAAGCTAGTGAAGAAAACGTGTGTGTGTGTGTGTGAGAGAGAGAGAGAGAGAGAGAGAGAAGGTTGATGTAAATGCTTTACCATACCACAGTATGGTAAAGCCCACCACAGCTTTACCATACTGTGTCATGTGTGAACCAGCAGCCCACCACAGCTTTACCATACTGTGTGTACATCTGCCCAGTGATCGCTCAGACAGAACAGCATGTTGTGGCCCTGTTCTCTTTAAATCACTTAGACAGAGGCATATTTGCAACAGCATCTCTTAGCTATTAAAAGATGGAAGGACACGTGTAGGATGGGCCGCAGTAACAGACAGACAGTTGAACATGACCATGTGGTAGGAAGGAGGATTCTCTGATGTTGAGGACCACACGGTGACAGGGACGGATGACTCCCACCTTTGTCTACTGATTATAGGACCCCAGACTCTGAAAATGATTTAGTGGTAAAAAAATGAAGAAATGAATCAATTATTTAAACAATTAATTCAACCAAAATCTAAGACATAGTTATTTCCTGTTATTGGAAGAACAACCTAGTGGACAAAACAAACTAATGAAGGGAAGGTTTTTAAAGATGTTTTTAAAGAAAGGAATACAATTCTGGTCTTTAAACGTGCAACAAAATAACAGTGTCTCCTTCAGTTGCCTTTGATAACATAGAGTTTATACATTTAGATGTGAATGCTACTGTTTTCTAAAACAGTGTTTCCCAAACTTTTTTTTCTGGGGTCCCATAATTTAAAAAGTCACAAACCTTCGCAACCCAAGTCAACAGATTACAGATATTCCTAAACTCTTGGGAAACATGATGCAAGACGACCCAAAAAAAAAAAATCTCTTGCGACCCAAGTGTCGTGACCCAGTCTTTGGGAAACAATGTTCTAAGCAACTGGCTGATTTAGTAGTGTTTATATGATAGAAACATGAAGAATTAAGATTGTGCTACTTTTCTTTACATCTATGGTGCGTCAGATAGCTGGAGTCCTTTCCAAAGAACTGCTTTTGTCTTCTGTTAGTTTAAGACCTGAGACATGTGGTTCCATCCTCTGTCTGCTCACACTCTCCATCCATTACCCCTTACCCACTGATGTTTGGCCCTGCCATCCTCCGCCTCTCTACCACCACAATATATTGGCTTTTCCCCTTCTCAAATAACCACAGCGGTGCCGAGGAAGCCGAGAGGCCGCTGACGACTAAGAGTGAGAAGTGAGAGTGGTTGCTTACTGTTTTGGTAACAGGCTTTGTGGTGCTCTGATTCCCTAAGCTGAGAGTAACATGGCGAACCACAGTCACGCTCTGATAACAACTGTCCAAGCCAGAGGAACGATGCTCTGCTACTGGAAGGCAGGCGAGGAAATTGCATCATTAATGTGGAAGCGGCCACTTTGCCAACAACATGCCTCAATGGAATCTGTAAAAACATGGTGTGCCAACACGACCCCCCCCCCACCTCACACACACACACACACACACACACACACTTCTCCTTCTCTGCATTTAGCAACATTTCTCTCTAGTACCGCCCCTCATTTCCCTCCCCCCGTGCCAACACATTTTTGATACTCTGTTCCAAAACATGCTTGCCAGCGTGCGTGCCTACACTAGCGCATGCATACATTTGGCATCTCAGTGGTTTGTCTGTGCTGCGTGTATCCCACACTCCCTCACACACCACTGCCAGCCAGCGCTGAGCAGTGTGACCTCCCACTGCCTCAAGGGCCCTATGTGTGTATGTGTGTGCGTGTGTTGGGGGTAGGGAGGATTTAAGCAGACGGGTAATGGGGGTTGCCACACCAGGGAATCGAAGAGATAGTTGTCTATTCCACTTTGCCCGACTAGAGTGGAGCAATTATGAACGTCATCCGCTGCCAGAGTTTTACTACGGACGACATATGGGAAAAGAAAGAAAAAAGTCTCCAACTTCAGTAGTCAATAAATGTGTCCTAGTGTTATTCAACATGGGACGCATCCCACAAATTTAGACTTTAATTTGTAAAGGAATAAGCAGTAAAGGAATAATGGACAAACTAAAACACCACAACAGTTTTTGACTGGATTGGCTGACAAAGACAACAGACTGAGACTAATAGAAAGTCATCAACATTTTGTTGTGTGTGTCGCACGGCGGGGTCAACGAGAGGACAGAGGATTTGAGAAGACGGTTGTGTGTGGAGGACAGAAGACAGCACTGGGACGCTGCCAGCGTGTAGAGGAGAGACAGGAGTGAGGGCTGGTGGAGAGCTCATTGATGTGACGAACAAACTCAAAGTACCGTCCATTCTTAATGTTCCCACCACCTACGCACGCTGACTGGCAGAGAAGAAGTGAGGAGGGAGACAGACACGGAGCACTTCTGCACTAACTTTGCCTATTTTTCTAAATTCCAGAAATATCCACAGTGGGATGATGAATTTAGGGCTGCCAGTGCTGTCAGCAGAGTAGGACGAGGGTATTGTTTGCTTTCCTCTCCTCCCACCTCTTCTTCTCAATACAATTAGACATCTGAACAGTCTGACCCACACCAACCTGCCTCGTGCTTAAACCCAAAATCCGTCATTTTTAAGCCAGCTAAAATGTTTAATTTATTTAAACACATTTGCATGCAGGGATATACCCGGTGTTTGTGTCTTAGCACCAAATGAAAACAGGGCCAAGGATGTCAGCTGTACTGAGGAGGATCACAACAAGTACTCCCTGAGACTGAGGCTCAACATGTTCAGGTCATTCATTTAATCGTATGAAAATAAAACCTGTCAAACTGTTCATGTGTGTGAGGGTGACAACCTTTGGTGTCTTAAAACAAGTGACTTAAAACAAAGAAGTAGGTTTAAAAAAAAAGTCAGGAAGGATTTAGACTTTATGACTCGTGTGTGTGTGTGTGTGTCACGGGACAATGCGTGTGTGCCTGGTTCATGGGAAGGGGGTGAGAGACTTGTAGAAAATAGGTTGACGTGACCTACATATCCATGTAGCTTCTTATTAGCATAGTAGAGACACAGTCCTGTACGCACAGAGAGAGAGAGAGAGAGAGAGAGAGAGGGAAAGACAAAGAGATAGAAAACTAGACAGAGAGTCCAGACAACAGTGACTTGTGTCACAGACTGCTAAGAAGCTGTTTACATTGTTTGCTTTGTTTTGGGGGTATTTATTTTTTGCCTTAACACCAGAGCAGGGGACATTAACACACACACACAAGTTCATACTAAAAAGTTGACAATAAATCCAGAATTACACGTGCCGTTTTGAAAACCAATCACAAGGACGTGTGACTGGATTCTGTGCCAACATTGTCAACATCCAAACAGTTTCATTCTAAGAGGCTGCACGACAAATAAGGTACGTCGTGATGCTAACGTTGAGTAGCACCGCGCTAGGGAACAAAGAAATAAAATCAATGTGAATGTTTCAATTTTGTACAGGAAACACGAAGGACACGGCGAAAACAAGAACTAACGCAAAAGGACAAAAACAGCTCTGTGATTCACGATCCACCACTCGACCATCACCAGCATCCTCTCCTTAGTGATGCACTTTATCGGTAAACATTTTCTAACAGTGAATTCCAACACAACAGCAGTCATCTTGGCTCTGAAACAGCTTCAGACTTCAGGGCAGGGGTTCTTTCCTCCCTTTTTCAATCATTCCCTCTCTTTTCCTTTGTCTCCTTCTATCTCTCTCCCTCCCCAGGACAACTATTAATCAGAGGCAGAAATGATAGATGTTTTGCTCAGCAGCAATGCCATCTATTTTGCCTAAGTACAAACTGGAGATGTGCTGTGCATATTTATTGCTGAAGAGAAAAGAAGAAAAAAAAAACAGCAGTCGCTCCAAAGAATTCGCAATTGCACACGCAAGACCACATATGTGTGAAGCGCGCACACACACACACAGAAAATACACATACCAAGACACCAACCCACACATATGTACACACACAGACACACTGCCTTTCACAGTGACAGCGGGGTCTGGCTTCAAATATAACCAATACTCAGCTCTGCATCCCTGCCTCTGCTTGTGTCTGAGCGTTTTAGCTTTAGTTTTACCTCTCTTTCTCCTTCTCTCTCTCTCTCTCTGTGTGTGTGTGTGTGTGTGTGTGTGTGTCATGGCACCTTGCAGCTCCTTTCAGTGCACCGATGATGAAGTAGCGCAATGAACGCCGTGGTCAATGCTGGCACAAGATCTCTTCAGAAGACTAACTCAGAGGCATCAGTGAGTCATAGCTTCAAGTTCAAAGCTAATGCGTTCACCAGAGGTTTAAATCACGAACATGATCGCTCACCTTTGGTGCTGACTCATGCAAACGGATTGATTCCCAGTTTTACCGTGAGCCACACTTTGGCACCATACATAATTGCATACATAAGTCTTTGGCGTCCCCTGTGGTTTCATTCTAACAATTTGACAATATATTGTGTTTACCCTTCAAAACAGCTCCCACTGAGGCGGGGTATGTTTTTCAGGCTTATTTAACAACATCCCTGCTGTTTGGGTTTTTCATTTTCCACTTTTTAAAGACAATTGATTGTATTGAGGTTCAGGCTCTGAGACGTCCAGCTGACCTGGTTAACTTGTGTTTTTTATTATTTGTATATTTTGGTTATTTCCTGTTTAGTTTTACTTGTGTCTAACCCTGTGTTTCTGCTCCCCTCCCCACCTGGTTTGTCCACATCTCCCTATCCGTCCCCACCTAGCGTCTTTCCTCAGTGAGCCTTTGGCCTGTGGCAGGGACGTCAAACTCATTGTGGTTCAGGGGCCACATACAGCCTTAGCTGTCAAGTGGGCCGGAACAGTCATAACATAATTACCTATAAAAAGGAAACGGTCCAACTATATTAGCAAATATTCATATTTATCATTTTAAAAAAACATCACAGACCTGAATTGCATTTTTTTACTTTCAAAATTCACCAAGCTGGCCAGTTTGAAACCTCTAGAGGGCCAATATTGGCCCACGTGCCATATGTTTGACACCCCTGCTTTATAGCATCCAATCAAGTAATTATGATGTTAATCATACGATTGCCTGAGCAGGTTTATTAATTGGTACCAGTTGCTGAAATGATGCATCATAACATTGGCGTCATCTCTGGGTCACGTCCAACACGGGGAAAGATTTTTGCTGTTTTTTTTTGTTTTTTTTGACTCAATGGAAGACGGCTTTTGACAACGAGGAGGAAGGCTACAAAATGTGTGAGCGTCACGTTAAAGACCAGGCTTCCTTTCCACTGCATTTGTTCCCTCGTTTTCCCACATCTTTGCAGAAATATATCACATTCCTGTGCACGTGGACGATGGCAGAGGTAGAACATGTTTTTGCGCATCAGCCTCCAGGACTCATTTGCATCTAACACAGCGACGGCTGACGTTCAGACGCGGTCGTAAGACAGCCTCGCCACTGACTGGCTGGGCTACAGCTGCCCCCT